GTATAATGGTGATGCAACCAATATGGACCAACCCGTAGGCTGCTTACCAGCAGCCTCCATTTCTAAGGAAGAGATTGAAGTTGTTACTGATGATCAAATTGTTTCAATACGACATGGGGGATATCACAAGTTTCTTGTCAAATGGAAAGGTCATCGTCATTTTGATTGCACTTGGCTCATTGCCAATGAGTTCCAACACCTGAACTGTGATATGTATGAGAGGTACCTTCCTTTTACTAGACAGAGCCAAGTTTTTCCAAGCTGGGGAGATGATGAGGATCAATTTAAGGTGTATCAAAAGAGAATGAAAGCTACTCGTATGCTTATTTGGCATCATTATGATGACATAGCTCCCACATGGGAGCTGAGTTAGCAATGAATCAACTTGGGAAGACCCTAGAGTAGTCCACCTTAAGGTGCTCTTTGTGTGGTTGAGTTTGCTGCTGGACAGGACTTATTTGACTTAATTACCTTTCTAGACAGCAATGTATTTTTGTAATTTTGCATGTTTGGGGGGGTGTATCTTTTGGAACAGGTCTTAGTATAGTAATTTCCGTTTGTTTGGCTTTATGTATGTGATTGTTTGGGGCAGGTTTAGTATAACCTAGCATCTTTTTGTAAGTGGCTTGTTGGGCCAGCTAACTTGGGGGGCAAGTTTCTTCCTTTCAAAGCTTCTTTCTTATTAAGCTTGTAAGGCTCATTTGAAGGACAATTTTGCTAATGAACAAAGAAAGTTCTGTACAAAATTTGGTGTGATTGCCTAGGGTTTTCATCTTATTTCTATGTCGTCTCTTCTCTTCTTTTGTTTCTCTGTTAGTTCTTTGTTCTACACATCTAGACCTAAGTTGGTTGCAATTGGCAACAAGTAGGGTGAATCACTACTCTAAACATCATGACAGTGGTTACAAAGCTTACCAATATCCAATCAATCATTCTCCCAAAAGCACACTCTAGCTCCATTACAAAATGCCAATTTTGGAACCAACATGCTGCATGAAGTTTCTGTTAGAGGTCATTGCCTCCTTCGATTTATGTATATTCTGTATGTATTTTTTCTACCTAGTGATTTAAAAGGTATGCTTGAGGCGCGCCTAGGCGGACAAGTGAGGTGCATTTTGGGGTATGCGCCTTGTGCCTCAGCCTAGGCATGCACCTTTTCAAAATTTTGTGCTTTTTGCGTTTTTTTTTTTTGAGTCAGATAGCCCTCGGACCCTTGACCACGCCCCTCGAGGCAAGCCCGAACAAGTCTATGTTAGGGTCTGAAATTCTTATTTGCTAATGTTGTTCATTCATTCATTGCAATAAATTATCTTCTTAAAAGGCAATGAAAGTTATAAAATCATTGTTTTTTATGTGAGAAATAAGAAATTCAGACCCTAACATAGACTTGTTTGGGCTTGCCTCGATGGGCATGGTACAAAGGCGACTCATAGAATAAAGAATGCAATATGTTTTACATCACATTAGCTACTTGAAGCAATGCAATCAAGGAGAAATGGAGATTGCGGGTTTTACATGCTTGAAAATGCTTTATATGTTTGCTTTTATTTTTAAAATTTCATTTGAATACACTTTACATGTTATGTTTATGTATTTTAATTTTAGGTAATAGGTTTTTTGAAACATTTATTTTAAAATTAAAATTTATATTTTTTATTAACATTATGTTTAATATTTTTTGATTTTGTTGCATCTTTAAAAATTTTTTGGCATTTTTTTTGAATTTTCTGACTTTTTTTTATTTTTTTAGCTTTTTTTTTTATAATTTTGCACCTTGCTTAAAAAGGCACGTGCCTTGCCTTGCGCCTCAGGCGCAAATTGGCCCTTGCGCTTTCAAAACACTGTTTCTACCTTAACAAAATCCTAGTTTCTGTTGTATGAAGTTTTTTCGCCATGTTAAGGATACTTACCTCCATTCTGAAATCAACTGTGGTCAACATGATCATAAGCCATCCTTAATTGTATTTACAAGTCCTTAAAGGACCACACCCTAGAAAAGCTGCTCCCTATTGGTTCATTGTTTTGCTAATAACCCATCTGCTAGACAATTTGGTAGTCCTTGGTGTCCATTTCTAGAATATTCCAATCTCTTCTGTTAGTTGCTTTATCTCTCTCATGATTCCTCTATAGATCCATGATGCTGTATCGGGTTTCCTTAGCAATCCTATTATTGTTTTAGAGCCCCCTTCCACATGTAATTGTTCCAATGCATTGATTTAACTAATCTTAGACCATGATACAGCCACTAGCTCTGCTCTGATAGTGCTTCCCTGACCTATTTATATTGAATATCGACCCATTATATCACCTTTCTTCATTTCTGAAAACTACCCTTATTCCTGATTGATCCGAATTCCCAATGCTGCAGCCAGCAAAGTTGAGCTTTGGTTCAGCTCTCTTGTGGTGGTAAACCAGAGATGGGTGGGAATGGATCTAAAAGCTGATGATTTAGCTACCTGTGAGGCTGTGGCAATTTTTGATTTTATAGTCTGTGGAGAAAATTTGAAATCCTTCAAATGCGTAAGGGACTCAGATGGACTAAGAATTTCCCAGTGTTCTTTTTTTGAGGAAAAGATAACTTGTATTCAGAAAAGGGAAGAATGTACAACATGCCTCAAAAACAAAGAGGGCAGCCCAGACCAATTAAGCAAGCATTGGATCAGCACTATACAAAAAATCCTTTCCCAAACGTGGCGCTTTGCTAAATCATCAGCTGCTTGATTATTCTAGGGGGATCCATCTAAAAGAGCAGTTCAGAAAAGATGACAGCTCATGAATCTCTGACAGGCGGTGAGCAATCCTCCACGGAGCCTTTTCCGTGCCTTTAGCCCACCTAATGGTGTTTCTAGAGTCTCCTTCAACAGCTAAGGGGCCGAACTGCTGAAGTGTAGTCTCTTAGCAGTCCTTAAGCCCTCAAGAAGGGAGCGAGTCTCTGCTTCAGAAGCATCTGCAGCTGATATAGGGCCACTGAAAACACACGCTATGTCTCCATTTAAGTTCCTGAAGATGCCCCCTATTCCAGCTACCAAGGGAGGAACAAGTGATCTTCTAAAATTATCATCAAACTGCAGCAAATAGTCACACTCCCTCCTGGGGGGAAGAAGAACTACTGCAGGGGAAGTGAATAGGATCTGCTGCTAGTTTCTTTGTAAATCACCTCTGTGAATGCCTGCAAACAGCTTATGGACCAGCATCCAGGAAAAGGGTATGGGATAAAGTCTTCCTTGATTGAGTGTTATTTCTTGGACTCCCTCTTCTTCAGGTTCCTTCTCTTGTGCTTCTTTCTATTGCATCCATTTCTCTTGGGATTTTCTTTTTTTTTTGAAAAATTAACACTTGTTGCTTCAAAAAAGGAGACCTTCCTCTTGGTTACCCCCTCATTGGTGTCTTCTTTGCAAAGTAAATGGTGGGACCTACTATCACTTACTTATCTCTTAACCTTTTTTTCCCCTGTATTTGGGTTTGGTCTTTCTCTTCATTGGTTGCAGGTAGAGTCCTCCAAAGTTCAAATTTTATGCAATGTTTGTTTGCTCCTTCAACATTTGTTTGGACAAATAAAAAGGGAAGGATTTTTCCGAGGTGCATCAGGACTGCAGTCATTTGAACAATATGAGAAGAAAGAAATGCAAGAATTTTCAATGAGAAAGAAATAAGTAAGGAAGCAATTATCGAATACATCACTATAAGGGTGGCTCATTGGGTAAAATCCTCAAAGAACTTTTCATCCTTTGCACTTGATATCATCAGAAAGTGGAGGGAAGTGGTAGGGACATCATCAAAAAGAATTTGATTTGTGGAAGCTGGATGCCACCAAAAAGAGTGTTTACAAAACTTTACTTTGATGGTAGTGGCATGGGAAACCTGGGGTCATTAGGAGTGGGTGGTATTATCAGGAATGAGGATCATGTTATTGCATTATTCTCAGGTCTAGTTGGTATATTGGATTCATTAAGGGCTGTAGTTATGGCAGTAATGGAGGGCGTGCAAAGGGCAAGGAATATTAACCTCAATGAGTTGATTATTGAAGGATATTCAAGGCTGGTGATAGGGTGTTGGGCTGATGCTATAGCAGATGGCTGATCTAACAGATGGGTACAAAGGCATCTAACAGAGGGGGGGGGGGAGTTCAATTGTTCTGGGCACAGTTGTAAGAATAAAAACCGGGGGGGGGGGATAAGGGGTCTTATCTCTATTTGACTTTATGTATATGTACATCTTACTATTTCATTATCAATATAATTGTTAGATGCTGATATAAAAAATTGAAATCACTGTCATTATTCAATGATCCACCCTCTAATTGTGATGTTTGCAGTAATATTTTCCTTGCTATGAGCCTTCTCCTTAAAGATTCCTACAGAACATTAAATCCAGTTTCCCCTTTTAAGGGGAAGATATTTCTGAAGCCCAGGCAACTGGCTTATGGACCTGTTTCCATTTCACCAAGTGAAAGTTCTTGTTGCTCCTACCGTTACAATTGAAAAGGATATATCGTTGAATCTACTTAAGAAGTTGGGTGGCTATTAGGACCTAAAAGTCTTCAAGCAATGGTTTAAAATAGCATGAAAGTAATGGTTGTGTTAATGGCTCACTGGTTCTCCAGCTGCCATACATGTAATACAAATTCATTGGGATAACTTCTGTCATGTTTTACTTAATTATAATGGTACTGCTAAAGGATTCATTTTCCAGATGTGAGCTTAATTCTAAACAAATTTGTTTCCATGGAAGGTATTTACTATTTAGCTTCATGATTGAGTTCAGTTGTTTCAGTTATTGTTCTATAATACTGTTAATAATTACCTATCAAAAAATAATACTGTTAATAATTTGAAGATTATTTATGCTAATATCAATAAAAGGTGGGTTGGATCTAGTCTATTCTGTAAATCTGTGAAGGACATTTACTACTTAACAATATGCTGCTGTCTTATTTTCCTTGGTTGGTGTTTAACAGTATCTCAATGTGTTTTCTATTGTTTTCATTGTCTTGGCTGCAGATCTTGGTGAGCCATGGTTTTTAGTAGTAGGTAGGGGCAGTAAGGGAGTTAGTTTACCAAAATAATGTGGCATGAGAAGCAAAACATGATATTCCCAGGTCAAGTAACGGGTCCTTCTGGGCCTCAGGTTACTCATTTGAAGAACATGTTACACCCAATTCCTTCAGGTGTTCCTGATACGAATTTTCTTCCTGAATCAGGAAAAAAAAGGAAAGCAACTACACTGGATCAACAAGGGAACAGAGTTTTGGATTATTACTTACCTATAGGATCAGGTCCAAAGCCTAAGCTCGATGTAGTTTCAGAGGTAAATGTGCATAAGAATGCTGTGGAAATGTTTTCAAATCAGACTCCCCAAGAGCATAATGTTAGATTAGAACAATTTCGAAACTACCAAGTCCATGATCCGAGTAAACTTTCAGCAAGTTGGCAGATTAATGATGCAAACTTTGCAAATTCTGCTGTTGAAAAAGTGAATAGTACATCTTCCATGTTACTACCTCAATCCTTCTGTCATAGTGGACCTTCTCCACTGCTGAAGTCATCACTTGGAGATTTTCCAGAAACTGGTTGGAGACCCCCAACATATAGTACATTCAATCCAGCTGAAGTCCCTAACTTTTCATCATACTTGAACCCAAATGACGCATGTATGGGGAAGGCTACATTTGGTCCTGCTTTGATGGATGAAGCAAACAATGTTCATGGGAATCCTGTTACTTCAGGTAATTTGACATTGGAAAAACACCAAATGTCCTCTGCAAATATGGGACCCTTGCGAATGTCAGAGAAGAGCTTCATTAAGGATGACAAACTTGCTCATTTTGTAAATTTTGATGGAAAAACTGTTGGGCAGGATGTCACTAAATTTGAGACTCCCATGGAGATGAAACAGAGTTGTCAATCTCCAGACATGGCAGATATCAAAGACGGCCCAAGCAATGGAGCAGTCTCGGTAGAAACTTCTTTGTGCACTGATAGAAAGGAAAGTGACAGGTCTTATCAAAATTCCCAAACTGAAGTAAGATCAGATACTGCCCCTTCAAATATGGGTTTGGATGCTAAGGTGAAGGGTAAAGATCAAGATCTGGGAGATTACCATATCAAAAATATAAGCAAAACAGAAGGACCAAGCATGGACATTGCAAAATATTCTTCTGGGGAAAAAGTTCCACCTGAAAATGCTGGTTGTCCTGCCAAAACTCATGTTGGCCCTGAACATGAATATGATCGACACAGTGGCTCTCCTAACTTGGGAGGAAGTAAGTCAAATGCTGGAAAAGTAGCTACTACAAATGCTGAAAAGCTCTGGGATGGGTCCATTCGGCTAAATGCATCTGTAAATGTGTCAGCAGTTGCCTTCTTTAAAAGGTTTTTCCAACTACTTTCGCAACTTGAGCTCTTCTTCTATAGATGTTTATCTTTACAAAGACAAAATCCTTTCATAATTAACAATGGGTTACTGCATTGCTTTGTAGTTCTTAATTATGCAGATAAGATTAGTAGCTAACCAACAATTTTAACATTTGATAGAACCAACCTAGGAAATATCCTTGCTGTCTTCACATATTTTATTGGTATGCTTGTTGTGGGTTCTGGGTTGGGTGTGATTGGGTCTGTTATCTTCCCTGGTACAGAATCTCTTTGTACAGGGTTTTCTCTTGTAATAGTTTTATTTTATTTTTTGCATATTAATGAAATACCTTACCTTATTCTTCAAAAAAAAATCAGTCTAGATAAGATGTGTTTGAGATCCAAAAAATTCAAAATATGATAAAAAATCTCTGGTTGAATGCTAAACCTTTACTTTACCTTGAATAGAAAGATGTGACCAGAAATAATTGACAATGTCTTCTGATAAACTATTCACCACTTATGTGAGTACTAAGTACTTGGCTGTTAGTGAAGGGTTTTCTTTTCTAAATACTTTTTAAGATAATGTACTGATATATTAAAGGTGATCTGAATCAACTTTGAGCATTCTTAAATGAATCATCTGCCAAATGCCTCTCAAACTTTTGCTAATCAAAATAAGGCCTCTCAAACAAATTTTGAATGTAAGCTGCAATTTTATTTCACCTATTTGTTATTATGTTTCATATAGTACAAGATTGTACGGTGAGGCTTATCCCTTTATACAAAAGTTTGTAAACCAATACATTAGAATCCACTATCCCAAGACTGGCTCAATTCCATCCCAGGATCAGCCTCACAGAAAATGAGTATATCCCATGTTCAAACAATAGGAATGCACTTAAAAATTATCATGTTTCCTTTTTTCTCTCTCCATGTATTCCAATATATGGGAAAAGGTTTCCCACTCCATAAAATTCTCATTCAAGCTCCAAAAGTATCCTTATTCTTCCCTGGAAGGTGGCATAGAAACTCCAATGACACACAAGTAGGACTAGAAATAGTAATGTTTTTCAGTTCCACTATAATCTAACTACAAAATTATACAGCTAGAACCAGTTTCAATTTTGAGTTCATTGACTATGACAGGAGTTGATCTCATTTACCGGGATGTACACATTTTTCCTTGTTTTTGAAAAATTTGGGTATATAAGGTTGTGTATGGTAAACCTGAACTCTGATCTGTGAAAAGCAGAAAAAGAAGTTTTCACAATAATTCTGAAATCTAAACATTCATATATCTTTTCTACTTTATGGACCCTTGAATGTAGTTAAACTGTTTGGTATTCTGCATGCTGGTACTTTTAAAAATAGCTATCTTACAGTTTTACCCCTCTGAATATGTAATATATATTATAGTTATATCTTTTACACAATTATAAACATTCTATAACGTTTTATATGATATGGAATATAATACGTAATTGTTTTATCAAAATATAATAATAAGATGTGATGTATTATTTATTTATATATGCTATATAGTATAACATAATAAACATTATATAAAAATATACAGAACAATTTAAATCATATTTTATATAATATTATTATAATCATATAATCGTATTTCAGAATATATAATTTCTATATAAGATGATTTAATACATTTTTTTGAAACCATATGATATAATGCATCATATTATCAATTTCTATGAATGTGTATATATTATATTATATGGGGGAGGTTATGTGATACTCATATACACAGGCAAAACTGTTGACTGACATGTTGTCAAAATAATCTTTTAGTTTAGGTTCTGAATTTAGAGTTGAGTTCATCTTTGGAAATTTAAGTGGAGTTTTTTTAGAAATCATAAGTTAGTTTATTACTATTGAAACAAAACCTAAGTTCTAATGAACAAACAATATTGCCTGGAAATCCTCTTATAGTCCAAATGATGTGCAAATCCTCTTTCCCCAAGGATTTATAAGTTACAGCACAAAGCTATGGAAAATAATGCACAAAGTGATGAAAATAGAAACCAGTGCCCTGAGTATTATCTCTTTTAGATAATTGATAAAAAAATTTCTTCTAGATAGGGTTGTAAGGTAATGATGTTGGATTCAGATTGAATCCAGCCACATCCAAGTCTGATCTGATTATTAAAGCTGCAACCATTTTAAAAAAATAAAAAAATAAACTGCAACCCGTGTTCAATGCAAAATTCTATCAGGCCTAGGGTATCTTGGATTGGATCAAGTATGTTTCACAAATCACAATCTTTAAATCAAAACTAAGAAAAAAACCAGTCTTTGACTTATACCTATAGAATAAATTTATATAAATATAAAACATTAATTACAAACTTTATATAATAAAACACATTTATATATGAATAAATATTATATAAATTTACTTGGACTTGGATCAAATAGGCTTAGATCCGCATCCATTCCCATTATTAAATAGATGCAATTTTTGAAATCTGAATCTTATCCATTCATGCAATTGGATACTCTAAATTTGAAATTATTGGATCATGATTAGGTCTCAGACTTTCAGACTCTGTTGACAGCTAGGGCTGTCAATGGGTCATTTCTATCCAACCAAACTGAACTGACTGAGCTGATTCTATTGGTTCTGGTTCTGTGATTTTGTACCAATTAGTAATTGGGTCAAAACTAGTTCTTGCTGTTCCGAACTGATTAGAATTAATAATATATAAAGGTTTCCTGGTTTTTCTTGTAATTTTTATTTTATTTTATGTCTAGAAAGGTAAATTTGGTAGACAATATATAAAATACTTTTGGTTAAAAACACTTGATTTATTAACATATAATCAAAATGAAGTTTTAAGTTATTATTAACATTGATAATTATAGATGTCAGTATAGCTGGGCCAGACCCGGTTATCCCGATTAATAATTGGGACAGGACTGGTACACCCTGTCCCAAATCAGACGCGACTCATTGACAGCCCTATTTGTAGATCATAGGTCTGGATTGGCATAAAAAATCTCAAAAACATGTGAGCAACCAATTTATAGTTCATTTTATAAGTATTGTTGTCTGTATAGTTCATTTCAAAGAAGACAAAGTTTTAGAATTTGAAATCCAGTTTTAGATGAACACAAATAAGATAGTCTTAATCCAGCACGTGTCTTGAATTGACTCGGCAAGCAGAGAAAGAACATGGATTTGGAGCTATTAAAGATACACTGTTAATTCTAACATTAATAAACCATACTATGGGCATAAGCAAAGGTAAATGTTTCTTTTTCACTTAGTTACACTCGAAAAATATGGAATTAATTATGCATGCTAGATACTCATTTTTTTAAAGTCAGAACCCGATGAGAAAGTTTGAGAATATGGATTTGGATGTGCAGAAGTGTCCCTCAAGAATATATGTAAAGTCAGAATCTGACACATGTCTGCCATGAACACATTTTCAATTTAGGAGAGTCCAGGCAGTAGTGTTAAAATCTCTTAAATTGAGATATTGTGCAAGTCATGCCTTTCAAAAAAGAGATTGTGTAAGTCATAAATATGTACAGAAATTACAGAGTTGTCAGAAATGCTCATTATACTTGAGGCAATTGTAAGAGAAGCACGACACACTGTATACAAATTATTTTCTATAAACCATCATTCAAAATGAACACAGAACATAGAAAAGTAGTCACTGTCAAGTCAAACATATAGGGCATTCTGGGTATGGCATTATTTTAGGGAGAGAGGTTCCTAACCGGATCTGTTATCTCAATCACCAGAGAATCCCACCTATTTCAGTATTTCAACTTGGGGGAATCCTGTGTTCAATTCATACCATCTGGATCAGTGATTTAAAAGGCGCGTCTAGGCGCACAGGCGAGGTGCATTTTGGGTGGTACAACGGCGACTCATAGAATCAAGAATGCAATATGTTTTACATCACATTAGATACTTGAAGCAATGCAATTAAGGAAAAAAAGAGATTGTGGGTTTTACATGCTTGAAAATGCTTTATATGTTTGCATTTATTTTTAAATTTTCATTTGAATACGCTTTGCATGTGATGTTTATGTATTTTAATTTTAGGTAATTGGTTTTTTAAAACATTTATTTTAAAATTTATGTTTATATTTTTTTATTTACCTTATGTTTAATAATTTTTGCATTTTTTTTTAAATTTTTTTTGAATTTTCTGACTTTTTTTCTTTGTAGTTTTGTGCCTTTCTTACAAAGTCGCGTGCCTTGCCTTGCACCTTGCACCTTTTTTGCGCCTTGCGCTTTTAAAACATTGATCTGGATTGTCCATGCATTCCCTGCTTCAGTCAATATCAGCTTTGTACCTTTCCTTTTCTTGCAGTTTTCCTGAATTAACAAATTTCAAAATTTTCAATGTTGTCTTTGAGAATGCCCATAAAGAAAGGCTTATTCTGGATATTTGGTGAAGTTTTTTAGCCCTATTAAGGAATCTGAATGATTACATAGAACATGGTTGATACATGGCACACTATGCTTTTTCTTGAAACAAAAAGATAGTATCATAGTTCTATTCTTAAGAAGGGGAACAGCTAAAGCTTGATAATCCATCAGAAAAAAAGCAGTTAAAGCTTGACAGTTATGATGAAGAGGTTGCATATCTTAATTCCTTTTTTTATGGTAAAGTAAAAGTTAAACATCACCACAAAAAAAGACAGTGTCCCTTGGCTATTCAAAATCAACTAGCAATAAGTCCTGCATTACTTTATACAAGCTAACCCTTAAATTGTTGCCAAAGGTGGCTCTCTCTATACCCTCAAACTTTGGGTGATTCAATCTAGCATGAATCTAATGTCTGTGCACATAATAGTTGATAATTCTCATAATGAAATACTACAATAAGGTGTTGTGTAGAGGAGACTATTTAAAAGGTTGAAATTACACTTGTATCCAAAGTGTTTTTTCCTTTTTCCTTCGAAAAACAGTCATGTTCTCATTTTCCATATCCGTGTTTGTGTCATTTCTATAAGTGGGTATCATAATATGA